TGAGTCATATCTCTATCACTCTCGCCTGTATATTATCTCAATTAACGTTCCTACTAATCTCCTCCTCTCTACATCTGCCGTAATTCCCCATGACGTCCCTACTCTCTCTATTACTCTCTCTCGCCGATATAAGTACTCATGACGTCATATCTCTCTCTCATCTCCCTATACAGCGATCATACCACTCCGGATCGTCACATCTGCACTCTCTCACCGGAGTATCATTCAAATTCTTACCCGATTATCTCTCTCACTTCTTGGCTCTCTCGTCCTACTGAGCTCCATTACCTTTCTCTTTACCACTCATCTCTCTCCCTCATCCGACTTATCTATCATTCTCTCTCTCGACGTCTCATACGCTCCTCGCTGTTGTCCAGTCTCGATCAATACTGTCTCTCTTCATGCACAGTTACTCCACGCTCACGCCGGGACATCTCAAAATCGCTCGATTTCTTCCTGCCTCTTGCTTCACAATCTCTTCATTCCATTTCCCCCTCGCCCCCCTCTGCCCCCCTCTCCTCCCCGTTCACTTAAATAAGTGTGAAATGGATGGCTTAATAATGATCATTTAATACTCGTAGATTGAAGTACCGGTGAGAAAATGGCGTTGTTTGTTTTCGTCTGTTTAGCTCCTTATCGATCGCTCTATCTGCTTACTCGTCCGTTTATCAATCAGTGTTTATTGTCATTTAATTTATGCTATGGCACATACATGCACACACACACACACACACACACAAAGACATACACAAAAACAAGCGCACACACACATACACAGACACACACAGACAGTTACACAGCACGGCAGACATACACACAAACACTAAACATAAACACACATGCACACACTCGCATCACACATTTACACGCCGATAGTTACATGGAAGAAGACAAAAGGAGATCTGAAAAAAACCTTTTCCGGTATCCGAACCTCTTAAATTCGACCCAGGAACATTCACCTATAAACACCTTAACACGGAGAAAACGTTACTAGATCTATTGTCCTCATCTAAGTTACTATTCGGGTCTGTTATTCCGCAGTGTATTATAAGTATATAGTGTACTGTGTCTATATACGTGTGTATGTGCATGAAGGGGTGTATATAGAAAGGATTGAAACTTTTGAACAGTGTACTGCTAATAAAGACTAGTTAAAAGGCCACTTGTTTAGGATTATATGAACATACGATCAACTGTCTAAATAAATTTATTTACGAGAGAGTTAAAAACAAGACAACCTTTTTGAACAATAATTTGGTATCAGGCATATTATTAGGTATTACATATATAAAGATAACTGTCTAAATGATTTTTAAAAAATAAAATGTCAGTTAAAAATACTAAAGGAACAGAAAAAAAGTTTTACAGGTAATTAACCATCAATACTAACCAAATGAGATTACCTTGGCATATAATCTAAAGTTAGCATACTGGGTTATACATACATACACATACATACATACATACACACACACACACACACACACACACACACACAGACATATATATATATATATATATATATATTATATATATATATATATATATTATATATATAGAGAGAGAGAGAGAGAGAGAGAGAGAGAGAGAGAGGAGAGAGAGAGAGAGAGAGAGAGAGAGAGAGAGAGAGAGAGAGAGAATTTGAAAATTTTGCCAGGATTAGTGTTTCTTTAAATTCTCAGTCATCAAGATATTAACATTCCAACCTCTTAGAGTAGATAAATCTTCTTTTATTCAAAGACAGGTACTCCAGATCCCACATCTCTTTAGAGAAATTAATATTAGTAATACCAATAACAGTAATAATGATGATAATAATAGTCATAATGATAACAACAATAATAGCAATAATAACGACATTAATAACAACAACAATATTGATTATTGCAATAATCATCGTCATTGTTATCATTATCAAATCCATTATCATTGCAATCTTTCATCATCGCCATCATCACCACACTATCATCACCATCATCATCACCCTTATCACCCTTATCATCACCATCATCATCACCAGCGGAGGAGGAGGCCAATCGCCGTCCGGGAAACCCAAGGAGATCAAGGCAGCTGCGTCTCCCAAGGCTGGGTCGGGACGCTGTTGCTGGAGGGGAAGACGAGCGCCCGCGAGGTGCATTGCATCTACATGATATATATGTATATGAATATATATATATATATATATATATATATATAATATATATATATATATATATATATATATATTATGTATATACGTATGTATATATATATATACATCTATATGTATATATGTATGTATTATACATATGTGTATATATGCATATATACATATAAATGTGTGTGTGTGTGTGTGTGTGTGTGTGTGTGTGTGTGTGTGGTGTGTGTGTGTGTGTGTGTGTGTGTGTGTGTGTGTGTGTGTGTGTGTGTGTGTGTGCGTGTGTGTGTGTGTGTGTGCGTGTTAAACATTTATTCTTTTATATATATATGGACAGGCAGACAGATAGCTACTGGCAGGTAAACATTACTACTATTGAGCAACGTTGCCCTCCCATTAGCCTGCGTCATCCTCCGTCGTGATTTCCTCCTCACCAAATACCGTTTCAATTGGCGAATTTACAATCAGTCAATCCATTGCATGCGGAAGCAATCATTTCACCCACTGGCTAATCCCCGGAAGGAAATCACCCAATCAAGCAAGCCAATCCAGATCCACGGAACAACCAAACAACCAAACAACCCAATCCACGCCAACATCCGAATCAACCGCGAGATTCAAATTATCCCAAGCGCTCAACCGACCGAGAAAATCGAATGGCCAATCGCTCAGGCAACCGACCGATCCATCTTCCCCAAAACAAACAAAATCACACCCGTATAAAAATACAAAAAAAAACAAACAAAGTCCCGCTCAAAAAAAAATACGCAAACATCAAATAAACGCCCTCGAAATAATAATGATAATAATAATAATAATAACAATAATATAATAACAATAATAATAATAATAATAATAATAATAATAATAATAATAATAAATAAAACACAACAAACAAGCAAACACCCCCGACAAAACACAAACAATCAGACATCCCCGCCACCAAACAAACAAACAAGCACGCAAACAAAGCAGCGAACTCACCTGCGCTTGGAGGCCGCCCGTCAGTGCAAGCAGGATGAGAGGGGCGGCAAGGAGGCGCGGCGCCGACTTCCTCCTCCGTCCTTGCTTCTCCATGACCTCTTGGGGCCGACAGCGCTTTCCTGCAGGGCTGATAAGGTGGCGGAGAGGGGTGGGCGTGGGGGTGGTATTCTTTCTATTTTCGAATGTGTAGTCTTCGTGGGTGAGTTTTTTTGTTGTTTTTTTGTTCTGGTCTTGTTTCTTGGGGATTTGAGGATTGTTTTCTTGTTTTTTCTTTTTGTTTTGATTTTTCTTTCTTGTAATTTTAAAGGATTGAGCTCTTTTGTTGTTGTATATGAAACCTTTCTTTTTCTTTTTCTTCTTTTCACTTTATTTCTTCTCTTGTGCGGATTTCAGAAAGACTCCAAGAGGGTTTTTCCTGTTAGATAAGCCTTATCTACACTTCCTTTTTGGCGCTATTAAGGGTTTGTCTCCACTTCTTTTTTACACGATTTTAAGCCTTATATCTTCCTCACGTTCCACACTCACCAGGCTTTTCATTATGACTTTCCTTTATTTGTTTATCTCGTTGATTCATTCACTGTTTCACTGAACCGGTTGTGCTCGAAACAACGTATCGTTTTGGTTCACTTCTGTAATTATTTATATATTTTTTTTCGGTTAAGAGAGAAGAAAAATAATTTACATTCTAGTTGAGAGAAAGGATATCTGTTGCGGTTGGGAGAAAGGTTTTGTATTTCTTTGTTATGGGCTTTGTCGATGTTCTACGAAATTTGATATCGTTATCACTCCTAGCTATCATAGTTATCCTCAATATCATTATCATTAGACTATTATTTCCTTTCCGGAGATAATATGCTTATTCTTTATCTTTTTATTTTCTTTCTTTTTCTTGCCGTGGTTCATAACTCCTCCCATTTTAAATCACCTCGACATTTTATCGAGTAACAAGTCAAATCATTTTATTCCCTTGCGACATTTCTCTTGGAAAATTAATTCTTAAAAGACCCTCACACTTCAAGCAATTAAAAATACACCTTAAAAAAATATATATGCATTCGCGACGGCCATTTATAACGGTATGCCTTTACATTTTTCGAAATTCAGAGGTGATTTCAAGGCTGCGTTAAGTACGTATCCATTTTTTTTTTCTCATTTACTTCCGTCTTCCTGAGTATTTCCGTTTTCTATGCGGTCGGCTCAGTCCCTCCCTCGCTAAAACCACATCGTCTCTAATCATTCTTAATTTCTCTTCTACTAATTCCCTTTTATGTAACATCCTTTATCACATTACCTAAATAAAATATTTATAAAACAGAGACGGATATAAAAGTAAACATTTAAACTAAGGGGCGTTAAACGAGGCATGACAACAGAAATGTTAACAAGGAAGTCGCGACGAGTGTGTGTGTGTGTGTGCGTGCGTGTGACGAGTCGAGTTAGCGTCAATGACATTACGTAAAATTCTGCGGGTCACGCCCTTGTTGGGTCGAAGGTCATGCGCCTGGCTTTGGGTTTTTGCTTCCCTTGACCCTCGAAGCTGACCAACGATGCCGCTTTTTCCCTAGGTTTGTTGTTATTTACGTTTGTGTGTTGTTTTTTGTGTCGGGATGTTGGTGGTGGTAGGGGGGGGTGAGAGGTTAGTTTGATAAATGTGATTATTTATCTATCTATTCATCTAAGATTTTTTTTTTTTTTTTTTTTTTAGTTTGCTATGAAAGAGAACGAAAAGGATGTTATAAAAATAGCGGTATGAATACCTATTTGGTATATAATGTACTTTCGAATTACATACGATTCAACCCAAACAACACACACACACACACACACCACACACACACACACACACACCACACACACACACACACACACACACACACACACACACACACACACACAGACCATGTCTTGAACACCGAATACAGACTGGCGACACTAGTCCTAACACGGGGTTATTGATAACCTATCACATAAATCAATCGTTAGACAGATGTGCTAATGCTTCTCGGTTGCGGTTCGTGGGTCTACCTGGTCAGAATGTTAACACACACTTTACACGTACATGTATACATACGTGTGTACGTATATCTACCTATACGTGTAACTGCATGTCTTACTAGTGGTTACGTGTCTATTCATTTTGTTAAATCTAAATAGATAATGTATGAGTGTATTTTTGATGAACATTTCTCTCGACACGCCCAAACACAGGCGAACCCGCACATACACACAAATATAACTTTCATAGATACCTGTTTACACTTTGCTAGTTATTTTCTTCACATTTCTCCATGTCACAAAATCATAAAATATAATAAACTATTCATATAAACTCTAAACTTTACTTTTTCGTATCTATACGTTTTTTTCTTTTGTTTTTCTTTTCTATTTTCAAGTTAGCACTTCACTTCACTTGGCAATATAAAGACTTCACACTTCAAAATAAACACGCTTCTTGCTTCTAAATCCTTTACGCATGTACTTCATCTCGCAACAAAAAACGAGAAATTCCTGAAGTCAAACTATATGTAACTTGGTTTCCAACACCCTTGTATCTATGCACGGAAAGAGATTCGCACATATGGACAAAGGATCGGAATCTGTTAAGTAGTTGTTGATGCTCTTCGCAGCGACACACGTGATCCGCATGTCCAAGCTGGCTGCGCGAGGTGTAAACACGAAGGGAAAATGTGTTTAGGAATTAAAGCTACTTCCCCTCTTCTGACAGATATTATGCGCAACTTCAACAATGAGATACCTTACATACACACACTAACGTAACACGCATAAACACACACACACACACACACACACCAGTGGAAGGGCGGGTTTATATGTCTGTGTTTGTGTATGCTTATCATTACTATTATTTTCGTGTACGCGTATACTACTAGAGAGACAAACACACACACACACACACACACACACACACACACACACACACACACACACACACACACACACACACACACACACACACACATATATATATATATATATATATATATATATATATATATATATATATATATATATATATATTTATATACATACATACATACAACATAAATATATATATATATATGTGTGTGTGTGTGTGTGTGTGTGTGTGTGTGTGTGTGTGTGTGTGTGTGTGTGTGTGTGTTTGTGTTTGTTTGTGTGCGTGTGTGTGTGTGTATGTATAAATTATAAGTACCACTAGCAAGCCTTATTTTGTAAGACAACACCGAACGCAAAAACGAAGCCAACCTCCAAGAAATATTTCACGGGCCGTCGTGAGAACCACACAATAAGAGAAAAAAAGGGAGGGGCAGGGAAGGGGCAGGGAGAGTAGGGGAGGGGAGGGGAGGAGTGAAGGGGAAGGTAGGACGGGAGGCGGGGTTAGCACATACCGGAAGGATGCGTTCCGGAAGTAGGATGAAGATGGGGAGGGAAGGTAAGCAGAGGCAGGGCGGCGGGGGGGCAGCCCGGTTTTAAGGGATTTTCTCAACATCATCAAAGAATGTGTCTAAAATGCAACTTTAACCTTTTTATGCATTACTTTGTTTTTGTTTTTAGGCAGAACGAGTTTCGACTTCTCAGCTCACGCGATAATGAAATTCATGTCCGTTTTTTTTCCTCGATTTTCCTTAGATATAAATACGTTTAGAGAAATGTTATAGTGGGGTGTCTATAGAACACAAGAGCTATCCTGCAGACACGAAGGAGTCCCTGGCTGGTTACCGACGAGGTGGGTGTCCGTCAAAGCGCATTCTCGGAGCCTCGGCGCACCCAAGGCCCGACAGGTACTCAAAAGGAAACTCGACAGGTACTTAGATGGAACGCAGACACGAGGGAACACTCCCTTCTTCTCCCCTGGAAATTCCTATCTCCCTATTCTCCCTTTCTTTCGTATTTCTCTCTTCTCCCTTTCTTTCCTATCTCCCTCTCCTCCCTTTCTTTCCCATCTCCCTCTCCTCCCTTTCTTCCCATCCCCTCCCTTCCCTTCCCATCCCGCTCCCCTCCTCCCTTTAGTTCGTGGTCCGGCGACTTGCTAGAGGCTCCCCACCCCCCTCCTCTCCCCTCCTCCCCCCACCATGCACCGCCGCGACCTTGGATCGGCTACTTGTTTTTGTCGCTTGCCAACAACCTCTTAAAGCCCGTGTTTCCTCGAGGATCACTCAGTCCAGATCTCATGACCAAATTGCTATCTCGACGCGAACAGATAGCGATTATAAAACGAAAATGGATAAAAGAATAAATGACTGCATACTGATATTTTTTCTGTTCTTTTTTGTTGCGTAGGATGAGCGAGAGTGCGGGCGTGTGTGTGTGTGTGCAGCCAGGGCGTTCACTAAGTCGATCTAGATTCAAGCGAAGGTCTGATCCTATCCTTGAGAGAC